CATGAGATTACAAATTCCTGATTGTTTAAGCAAAGCTGAGTTCAAGTTTTCTGTTATTTAAGAAAAAAAAAATCCCACAACCATTATGTGATGTGACAATATTTCATTTTAAAAAATCTGTAAGTGCTGAAGTTAACGGGCATCCACCAAGGTCCCAGGGATGAAAGAAACCACCCTCCTGTAGCCAACAGTGGTGTTCAGGACCATGGAGAGTGGACAGTGGTCCTGCCTTCTCAGCACTGTGGACTAGCTCTTCTTAATGGGGGTTTCCACCAGCAAATCCCTTTCTATGGATCATTAGTCAGAAAATGGCATGGGAACTTTTAGGATCAGAGTCTTCATTGCTACTGGCTTATCAGCTGGTCCAGTTTGGATCTGAACTTGAGCTGGTTTCTACACACAATTATAAAGCTAATTTGTCTTGGTCTTTAAAGTCAGAGTTGCAGACTTCCCTGGTGGTCCAGTGGTTGAGAATCCATCCTGCAATGCAGGGGATGCCGCTTCGATCCCTAGTCGGGGAACTGAGGTCCCACATGCCGAGGGGCAACTAAGCCCGCGTGCCCCAACTACTGAGCCCACGTGCTCTAGAGCCTGTGCACCACAACTAGAGAGAAGCCTGCATGCCACAACGGAAGATCTCACATGCCACAGCTGAGACCCTATGCAGCCAAAAACTAAATAAATAATAAAGTCAGAGTTGGAGATAAGAACTTAGGATGTGTTATACTGCCTTATCATTCCAAATACCTTCTTCCTTTCCAAAGTGAGGAATCCATTTCTTGGGGAAAATTATTAATCTCTGCCTTATTGACCTCAGGCTTGGCTATGTCACTTGTTTGGGCCAATGAAATGGGGATGGAAGTGGTGTGTATCATTTCTGAGCAGAAGTTCTAAGAGCCAGTGCATAGTACACCATGTACTCTTTTCTTTGTTTTGTTTTGTTGGCTGAGCTGCAAGGCTTGTGGGATCTTATTTCCCCAACCAGGGATTGAACCTGGGCCCCAGCAGTGAAAGCGCCGTGTCCAAACCAGGGGATTTCCTCCATCATGTACTCTTACCTCTCTACTCTAAGACCAGAAATGTCCAAGATACAACTGCACCTTCATCCTGAATCCCGGTGAGGAGCTGAGAGTCAGCCTACTCAAGATGGTTGTGTTGCGGACTTTCCCAGTGGCTCAGTGGTTAAGAATCCACCTGCCAATGCAGGAGCCATGGGTTCAAGCCCTGGTCCAGGAAGATCCCACATGCCACAGAGCAACTAAGCCCGTTCACCACAACTACTGAGCCTGTGCTCTAGAGCCCGCAAACCACAACTACTGAGCCCACGCGCCACAACAACTAAAGCCCGCATGCCTAGAGCCTGTGCTCCACAACAAGAGAAGCCACCACAATGAGAAGTCCGTGCACCATGATTAAGAGTAGTCCCCACTTGCCACAACTAGAGAAAGCCCACACGCAGCAACGAAGACCCAATGCAAGCAAAAATATAATTAATTAATTAATTATTTTTAAAAAGATGGTTGTGTTGCATAAGTGAGCAATAAACCTTTGTTGTTATAAGCCACTGTAATTTGAGGGTCATTTGTTACTAAAGCATAACCCAGCCTAAGCAGACTGATACAAAAGTAGTCAGCGAGAAGGTAGTTGGTGAATCCATGAGGATATGTGAGATGACCCCAGAGAGAGTATAAAGACAGAAGAGAAATGAGAGTCCAGGATAGGACCCTGAGACACTCCAGTATTCAAGAGGTGGGAAGAAGAAAGAGAACCAGAAAATATGACTGAGAAGAACCAGACAGAAATTGAAGGAAGACAAAGAGAGGGTGGTATCACTAAGGTCAAAGTAGGAGAGAGTTAAAAGAAGGAGTTGGTGAGGAATGGGTTGGATGCTACTGAGAGGTCTTCTAGCATGAGAACTGGAGAAGCAATTTCAGGATTTAGCTATAAGAAATTGTTGTTGTGGAGTGGAGTTCTGGGAACAGAAGCCAACTGTAAGGGCTATGGAGCCTGGATTAGGTAAGGAAATGGAGCCAGTGGAAAAGAGAGATGGAGAAATAGTTGAAGAGAAGAGGACAGATTAAGAAAGGGGTTTTATAAAATGGGAGACCACTGATGGGTAGGCACTTGTAGAAAGGAAGTTTTGAAAAATGGAAGAAAAGAGAAGGATAATTTTTGGAGGAATGATATAAGAGGGGCCAGGATCACGCACTGGCCCCTCTCATGTCATTAAGAGAAAGGCAGCTCATTGATCTTGACAGGGGAGCAGAAGGATGGTGGAGACCAGTAGGAGAGTGGTATAGATGATGTGGAATTTCTACCTGGTAGCTTCTGTGAGGGAGAAGGCAAAGTAATCCATTTGGAGAGAGAGAGGACATGATGGAGTAGTGGATAAGAGGAAGCAGAGAAGATTTGAAAGAGTTAGAGTGAAACTTTCAAGAAACAGAGGTAAGAAATAGTAATGTCATAGAGACAGAAGTAGTCAGAAGAGCATGTTTCCCCAGATTGCAGCCCCAGATTATTCATCTTCTTGCCCCCCTTCCATGGATACTGAATACAAGGACTCTTTGCAGCTTTGTATCAATGACAGTCTTGGGGATGGCAGAGGCAGAACAATCCCATGCAGCCAGAAGTCTTCAACTCTGAGGGAAACTCACCTTTCATTTCCATGTGTATCCTTAAGGATGCTTTTGGCTGCAAGTAACAGTAAGTTTTAACTCAACTGGCTTAAAAAATAATGTGAACTTGTTATCTCACACAAAGTAAGGTAATGAATATAGACACAAAAATCCTTAACAATATATTAGCTTATGGAATTCAGCAGTAGATCAAAAACATTATACACCATGACCTAAAGGATTCATTCCAAGGTTGCAAGATTGGTTCAATTTTTTTTTTTTTTTTTTTTTTTTTTCG